ATCAATTCGGCGACGATACATCTCAGATCTCACCGTAAGAGAGGACTTCTCTTTTGTTTTGCTAGATTCAGTGTCAGACATATGAAGAGTATTTCGATAGAGAAGAATCGAAGATACTAAGGTCAAGAAAGAAGCAAAGAAAAAATAGATTTCGACAAGATGAAGAGAAGCAGGGATCGTAGACCTAAAAAATTAGGTTAATTCTCTGATACCATGTCAAGAAGCTTATTTTGGTATAAAGGTTTCTCATTTATTAACATATTAAAGCATAGCCTTATATACACAATCGGTTTTACCTAGTTACAAGAATGTAATTTACCAACTAAACCGAACTTAACTTCTAATTATATTTCGGTCCATACATGTCTCAATATTGAGAGACTAATGATTCACATTGCTAAATCATGGCACACAAACATAGATTAACGATATAAATTTTTGTCAATCACAAAGTATAAACCACAAGAATAGGGAAACACTTGCTTACTCGGGGAAAACAGCATAGATTTGCAATAGTATTTACTATTTAGTATTTAGAAGGTAACGAAAATCAATAGCACCGAACTAAAAAAGACAGTTCCAAAACTACAGGAGCTCAATAGAGAAGATGGATGGCTCGATGATGACGGGATGATGATAGGAATGATCCCTTTTCTTTTAACAAAACTGTTGTTGGGTATGGGTTGATCACCCTTATCTAAAATCCTTTCCAAATTGAGATCAACTCATAAAGCCCATTAATTGCTAAAACTCATAAAATTTGGCCAAAAGTAACCAAGATTACTTTTATACCATGATGAGTGTCTCATTTTCTCTATAAATAGAGAGGACACCCCATTAAAAAAAGGGATTCACTTTTTTTACAAGAGCTGAGAAGCTCCACTACAAACTCTCTAAAACTTGCTCTGACAGTTCCCTAGTTCGTAGCTCCCCAGTTCAGAGCTCCCCATCTCACAGCTTTCCTAGCTCTGCCACCTTTCCTTAGCTTCGCCAGGTCGACGCTCTCAAGCTCGCCCACTTCCATAGCTTCGCCAGATCGTCGCTCCCAAGCTCGCCCACTTCCGTAGTTCCGCCGAGTTTCCCTAGCTCCACGAGGTCATCGCTCCCAAGCTTGCCCACTTCCTTAGCTCCGCTGAGCTCCCCAAGCTCCGTGAGGTCGCCATTCTCAAGCTACGCCAAGCTTCCCTAGCTCTACGAGGTCATCATTCCCAAGCTTCGCCCCTAGCTCCCCCAAGCTCCCCTAGCTCCGCCAAGTCGTCATTCTTTAGCTTCGCCAAGCTTCCATTGCTCAGCGAGGTCGTCATTTCCTAGCTTCGCCAAGCTTCCCTAGCTCTGCCAGCTCGTCATTTTCTAGCTTCGCTAAACCTCTTTAGCTCAACAACTCCCATAGCTCACGGCCTCCCTAGCTCACAGCTTTGCTCGCTCCGATAGCTTCCAAGCTTGCCAAAACAGCTTTCGAACTCGTCATCAAGACAACTTCCAAGCTCACAAAGATAGTTTTTGAGCTCGTTATCAAGACATCTTCTAAGCTCGCCAAGACAGCTTCCGAGCTCATCCTCAAAGCAGCTTCCTGAGCCATTCAACACGTCAACAAGATAGCTTTCGTAGCTACCAAGCTCATTATTCATACTCCAACAAAGACATTGTCACATCTATGAGG